ATTTCTACCTTTCTGCTACCTTCAAATGTTTTAGGCAGTTTAGACTTTTGAAATCGTAATGGTTTAACAAATAAACTTGACTAAATACGATAAATAAATATGTACATTAAACCTTTCAAACTATCCATGCATTCTGCCAATATGATTAAGAAGTAATTCATTGAAGTAATGACTTGTTGTTTGCTAATAACCAATTTAGCTAATAGCTAGCATGTGTTTCCGACATGATCAAATCTATAACCGTTGATGAATAGGATGTGCAATGTCCATAGAAGATCAAAAGCTATTTACATTATACCTTTTACTTTTGAAAATACATATCAAATTCAATAGCAATTTCTTGTTGGAAGACAAGAAATACTTAATTTTATTAAGTGTTGACTTGATGTCGAAGATATAATTTTTTTAATCTTATGGGTCGATGCGGAAACTCATTTTTTTCTATTATAATTGTAAAAAGAAAACGTCGACTTCATTTTGTCTTAACGGGAAAACGATTTCTTTTTGTCGTAGGACTTTAATCTTTACTTGAAAATTTTACAGGGTTAAAGTTGATGCTTTGTTGGCGAAAAATGGGCATAGTGATGTAACCATTGATTGCTTAAAACACAAGTGCGGAGGAGGATTACTCCCTATGATATTTGACAATCAAATAAAATGGGCATTTATTGAGACGCAGTTAAAATTAGACGTAGGTGTTCATCTCGTGATGTTCTCATTCACATTAATTTCTTGTTCAAACTTTAACCACCAACACAATGTATTGATGAGATATGGATTTTGTTGAAAAAGTACTTTGAAGTTATAATGCTGTTTGTAATAATTACTATCCGTGAATAAATTAAGGTACTTTTGAGAAAAGGTGATGAATTATATTTTATAAATAATTAAAGTGTAACTTTAATTGAAACTTTGAAGTAAACGCTTCGATTTAATTTCTTTTTCTATCGTTTTAGAAATTATCTAAACAAACAAATTTCTGCGCTAAAATAGAAGATCCATGAATGACAAATAATGTCCTTTGTAATTATCAAAATAATAATTAGACACATTATAGTCCAATTTATGGTAGTTTTGTGTTTACAAATTACATTACTTCAAATATTGTAGCAATTTAGATACATTGTGTACTTCACAAAAAGAGTAGGAGTTTAGCAATTAAGATATATTTTTGACGAGCAAATATGTTATTTGATTGTTAAACTGTCATCAATTTTAGTACAAGCGTGAATATTTTGTAGTCGATTTTATGTTATTTCCGAAATGCTTAGGTCTTATAGGGATATTTGGCACGGTTGAAGATGAACTCATCGGAACAGACCGGACGCAAGTAAAATTAACCAAGGATCTAATTACTAAAGTAGTAAAAAATCGCGGAGAAATTAGTAATTACTGGTTGAGGAAGACTAGATAACGACATGCGTAGTGCTACATATAGTGCGATAGGAAAGCAGAATCGACTCAGTCCGTTATGTACATAAAGAAACAATCTATTTATAAATATAAAGAAAGGGCCAAAAGCTTTCTTAAAGCTATCTGCACAAAATGAATGTGTGCGTACTTTCTGAATATCAATCTAAATCGTACGCATGGTACAAACCATGTGTTTTTTTTTAATCTTGGTTGAATAAATTTCCAGTATCAGTCAAAACATTTATTTCTCTTATAAAAATAAGGTTTAACGAAAAGTATGTCGCATGTAATCACCAGCAGGTGAAGGGTTCATTTGCCATATGCAATACATTCCATAAAAGAAAGAAATGCTTTAACGTTTTCTAAATTACAGTATAACATTTCTTAGTGTGTTTTATTATTGAAAATTGTGCAAAATTTCTTTAATCATAGCTGTTGTTCGCTGAACTTAGCGTCATGTTAATACTGGAGATTTCACAAAAGCCATACTTGACAATTCTCTTCTTTTTAAATGAAGAAATTGAAATGTTATTATTGTTATTATTTCATGCCATTAACAGGAATAGTATTTGAACAGCAAAAGCGACCTTTTGCTTTCATTTTCTCTGACCCGAGACATAAATGCAAGATATATATATATTAACTTTTTTTCTTCAAATAAAAGCGACATTTAAAAAGTAAGATAAAGAATTCGCATTTGTTCATTCAGAAAGAAGTTCTCAACTAAAGGAAGGTCAAATTCCTCCGCCAGTCCGTAAGAATAAAGTCTTATAACTTCAGACTGAAGTGGCTAAAGACTATTGCGTCTTGGGACTTGTTTTTCTCGAAGGAAAAAATCTGAGACGGGTTCTGTATTATTTCACGCAGAATGCTAATAGTCTTAAAATTGGTATCAATGCCAGATTAGACATACATAGATAGATCTTTTATATTTGTCTTACAAATCAGGAAAGCATTGCATTATATATAGTAACCATTCACAATATTCTTTATGGCTATTTCCACATAAAGTCCACATTGTTGTTCTTTATATTCTTTGTTCCCCTCTGAACAAATAGACGTTTGGTAACGACAAAATGTCGTAAATCATTTGGTAAAAAATGGCGATTATTAAGCAATGTTACAACGTGGTTACATTGGACATTTTTATGACTATCAATATTGAAAAGATTGAGTTGCATCATATGGTTTCAGCAGATATAGTTAACATTTAAAGGAACTCAACTGAGGTCCAAAAGCCTAAAAAAACATAAATTTTAAATTCTGACAGATCAGATCAGTTTGGGCACTTAAACAGAAAGGTATACATTATATTATTATGAAATATACTAAGAAAGTTATAAATCGTTTTTTTGTGCCGTTCTTATCCCGCTTTGAGGTGTTCGGGTCATTTTTCACAATAAGTAAATCATTCTGAAAAATGCATTGAGTAGATGGTCAGGTGCTATTCAGGAAAGGCCACGAAAGTAGACATTAAATGTACTTTATGCCTTTATCAATATATTTCATAATATGTCTTTATATTTAATTGATCATAGTCAAGTGAAATAAAAGAGATATTTTTGTAATATCTCAGCATTCGAGAACAATTCCTTAATATCAGTTTTTGTTATCCGCACATTACTAAATACGATTAATATAACAGAAGCTTTTTTTGGAACTTAATTGTTATTAATCTGTACTCTCCCGAGAACAATTTTCACAGTAATTGCCTCGTAATTCCGTTTGAATTACCCTACTTAAACTGCTCTTGTAATATCTGTGAATTATCTTTTATGTATTTTACTTGTTTTAATCTCGCTTGCTTTATCCGATAAATACGACATAGCACTCTAATACAGGAGAATGGTATGGAATTAGACAATGTCGGTATTACAAAATAAATTTCTTTGGAAATGTTTACCTTGTTAAGAAGCAGTGAAAGGACAATTACAAGCTTTTGACGATTTGTATTAAATTGTGTAAGCTCGGAATTCCCTCAATTAGAGTCGAAAATTTGCCGATTGCGCTGCTTACATGCTACCAGTTGTTACTGCAATAAAGATCTCTTAAACCCCTTTACTAGAAGGACTAATTCGGATCTTCACAGTTAAATATATCAAATAGAGTTCATGTACATCAAAATGTTATTATTTTGTTTTTACGATATAATTATAACTCTTAATCTATTTGAAATTACAACGAACCAAACTTGTATCATATGATAGCGTCCCAACCGTCCCAAAACGGCAATATTATCATGGTACAAGCAAAGAAAATGGCACTTTTTGACTGTATTAAATAAGATTAATGACATCACGGCGTTTAATAGCATAACATGAGTTATGTTAAGAATGCATTTTAACAAGAAAAAAAAAACACATATTTTTTTTCGATGTGAAAAAAAACATAATACAAAATAATTTCCGATTCTGAAAATAATTGTACCATTAAATTCGACAACTAGCGTGACGTAAAAGAAACTGCTGCGGAAAAATTATATGAGTTTACGTCATGGCAGTTAAGAAAACGTTGAATCATAGAAACAGTGTGGGTTCGCTTTTAGTAATGACGGGATTCCCCTAAAGTAGTCATGCAATTAAGCTTGAAAACTACAGAATAAAAATTTGGTTTATTTTCAAGAAAACATATTTGATGACAAGGAGTTATGTGTTCAATATGAGTGATATTTACTGAGCAATGGCATATCTAAATGACATTAAAGTTATTTATTTCAACTTTTAAGCATGACATATTATTGCTTGGATAAATAACTACACAGAAAAGCTTTCATCGTATACAATATGCTTGTTAAATTGTATACATTATTTGATACGATACGTTATAAATATGTTTAGCGCAAGCAAATGAATATAAAAGAAGAAAGTAGTATTCATATGGTGATATGATAGTTTAAAGAATTTTGCTTCAATATATTTCATTTTAATTTGTACTTTGAATGAATATGCATTAAACTGGTATAATATGGGGGTTTGTTAAATTTGTATAACCAATAAAATCTAATCTATTGAATATACTTCCATAAATTTTAATTAAATTTACAAATAAAACGTTACTTTTTGAACATTAGGTTAATATATTCGTTTGAGCCTAATATTTGCCTTTTGAATCCATTTTATTACGGTTTATTTTAGACCTAACGTTATGAGAAAAATACTGTCCACTCACGCACAAAAAGTATAAGATATTTGAAAGACTTTTTAATGAAATATTTCTTATTTTATATGAATTATGAATTATTATGATAAGAATTGGTTCCTATAGAATTATACATTTTAAGTATATAATAGAAAACTGTAATAATAAGACTAATACAATAGAAATAAGCTAAAAATGGATAACAAGATATTTTAAATCGGTATCAAACATATTGTCTTTTAATTTTCTTAGCGTCTTTTCACATATATATAGTCCACGCATTGTTATATTTCTATATCAGTTGTATAAAGAAAGGAATATAGTTGATTACGAAAATGTTTGAAAAAATATTAGTTTTAATTAGTCCGCAAAATATTTCATTCATTAAGAAAACACAATTGTTAAGAAAATATAGAAATAAAAATAATAAAGCTGAAAAAGTGTCCTACCTGATTAAAAATTATCCAGTTTATGTCAAAAATATTGCCAACAGCTCTTCCAGAGTCACCGTCAGATGTCGTTTGCAGATGAAATTTTCAAAATATCAGATAAAACATAACGCAAAATGACGTGTTTCCAATTAAGGCGGAGTCGTTAAACCACGTGGGCTCCTTCGGAAAATTACATCAATACGCTTCAGCAGCATCTAAAAGGACTTATAATTAGAAAATTAATTATGCCCTCTCGTATGTTCTCGGGCGGAGGTAGTTAGGCCAACGCGGCCCGTGTTAAAAGCATTTCCGATTTGGCTGCAGAAGGAATAGTAGAAAATAAGATAGAAATAGATCGCGAGTTTCGGTGAGACAATCACGAAACATGATAGTGATTTTTATGAGGTTGTTTTCTCGTTTCTTGGTATAGATAAGATTTACAGAGCAACGTGCTCATTCGCTTATTTAAGAGCCAAGACCGCTTCAGGTAGCAATAAATAGCGTGTACAAAGCAATGCTTTTGCGGAGCATGTTTGCATAGGAAACCAATACGATGAATATTTGATATACAAAACAATCAATTTGAAACAAAGGAACATGACAGCACGCAAACTAAAGTCGTTTGATTTGAAGTCTAATAAAAGGTTTTGTGCTGGCGTATTTTTTTAGATTAAATCTCTAAGGGTGTTTTTATGTCAAAGTGATATTATCTATTTAGAGTAATGATATATATGACTATGTATAGAGTTTTCAAACAATATCACAAAGTTATTACGATTTAAGAGCTGCGGTAGCTTAGTGGCTACCGCTAAACGCTAGGAACATGGGTTCGAGCCTAATTCAAGAATATGTTTCTTCCTCGTATGATACTAGAGGAAGCAGATTCGAAAGTTATTAATGCGAGTTCCAAGAACTCTGCGAGTGAAATATGATAATTTTCATACCGCAAGATGAAAAGAAATCCTGTATTTATAGGATAAAACTTTTCTGTTCATTATATGAATTTTTCTTTTTTTCTGACAGTACAATTAGAAGGACTTCCCGTAAAATGTAAATGTTGTGTTTTGGCTAAATTAAGAAGGAAGCAGTCCTGTAAGACACCAGTGAAAATACTGAAAATATGTTTCACTGCAGTGAAAAGTAAACATTTATAGTTAAAGTACGGAAAATGAAAAGACGCTTTTTATTTTATTTCATCAATATTTCTCAATATTTGTTTTATAAGTATATAATTAATATTATTCTGTAAGTAGTATTTCTTTTCTTTTCATTATAAAATACATTTTATAGGCCAACCAAACTTTGAAGTATAAGGAAAAAAGATATAAACTGTTCTAAAGCAATAAATGCTCAACACTGCATAAAGTAAATAGTTTCATAAATGAAAGATGAATTCAAAATAAGGAAAATGATCAAACAGCTCTTGGTTTGTTTTCTCTTTGCGCATGCGCGTTTTCTGATGTAATTGCGGTCTAAGATTATTCCCTTAAAAACGGATGATATTTAATCCTAAATTAATACGCTCATCCCATACAGAATAAGTTCTCATAAATTACCTATAAAAGGTTTATACCTTGAGGAATCGGATTCAATTCTATACAGGATTTAATTGATTAAACGTAATTAGCGGGGATGATTCCTTTTCTAACGGGATCAAGCTAATGTTATTTAGCTTTTGGGTGCTAATTAATAATAATTCCTGTTGGTATAAAGGGAGTAACAAGTGTACAACGCACGCGGTAAGGAAATTGGCAGAACTATATTGGGTTTTATCTACTAATTATCCAGGCTAAAATTTACAAGTCATCACTGGCGCCGCGGATGTAGAAAGTTGTAACAAGGTGAATCGGAACCGGGGACATTCAATACTCTGCTTTCAAAACATGTCATTAGCAGACGATATTTATTTGCAGACGATATATAGAAATACAATCTTAGATACACAAAGAGACGCGAGTGCATGCTAAGCAAAAATAAAAGTTAAACATCTTTTTGAAAAGAAGTCCTAACATACAATGAATAATAGATATAATGATATATGTAAAACAATCATGGAAGCAAACCTTTTAAAGATATAGCGATACATCATTTATCACATTTAATTACTTTTTTTCTACAGAGAAGAATTGTGTCCTGGTGGTAATTATATTGTATTGCATTGTATTGTACTTTATCGTATCGTATCGTACCATATCGCATCGTATCATATCGCACCGCACCGCACCACACCACACAATACCATACATTATCATATTATATTTTAGTGTACCAATTCATATTGTTGTTTTTATTTAAAGGCCTATTGCGCCTAATTCATGCTATTTTAAAGCCTTTTTATTTGTTGTTTTATTATTATTATTATTATTATTATTATTATATTATATTATTATTATTATTATTATTATTATTACATGTATTATTTCTGTTGCATTTGGAAATTAGTAAAGACTCATTTATAATTAGTGCTATAGTTATAATTACCTTCACCACAAATCATTTCATATTCATATATATGTATCTATTACTAAGATGATAGGTATCTAACATGTTCTTTATCCATTATTATAACGTTTTACATGCATTTATATAAATTCATGTTTGACCTTTCAACTGAAAATAAAACTTTATCCACTTTTGAGTCTTAATGTTATTGACTATGATTTTTATCAGTTTTTATGCTGCAGCTGACAAGGACAACAACTGTATGCTCATTTTTCACCTTATCATATTTATATTAATTAACTATATATGTATTAAAGGGGGAGTGGTATTTAATGACAAAATAAGATATTATCTCAAAATAACGTGTGATGGCAAATCAGTACCATTATAATGATCACAACTATGGTTTTATTTTTATTATCGTACTATATATAATAATGATTATAATTCTCATTATTTTATTTGTCATCAACATTACAACTATTTTTATCATACTTTTTACTTTTTTGTTATAATTATTATTATTATTACTATTATAATTATTGTTATTATTATTATTATTATTATTATTATTATTATTATTATATTGCTATCAACATATCGTCGTCGTTATCTTCATCGTCGTCATCATCATTTTTATCATCATCATTATCATCATTATAATTAATTATCATCATCATTTTTATTATAATTATTATTATTATTATTTATCATTATTATTATTATTATTATTTATCATTATTATTATTATCATTACTTTTTTTTATTTTTTTTTTATTTTTATTATTTATCACAATCACCATCATCATCACTTTTATAATTATTTATTTTTCTTCTCCCTTTTTTCATCTTTGACTCCTTGTTCTATTTCTTTTGGATGATGATTTTTAAATTATCATTATCATTATTATTAGGGATCTCCAAGTGAGCATTACGGTAACACAATTATCTTCAAAAGTGATGGTTTTGAAGAAATTTGCCGGACGTATATAAAAACTATTTGTTATATTTTTTTAGCACGGATTATACCCACTGTACGATCGTATTAATAAAAGGAAGGCAACAACTTTTGTAATAGAATACTCGACGAATGATCTTCTTTTTGTAATCTATAATTACCATTTTTTTCAAAATTAATTGACTGGTTTTAACATATGCATATAGCATAAACTTCAAGCGAGCACGTTAATAGAATGTTCTTGTTTTTATCCAAAAAATAAATCCCGGTCAAAAGAAGTACCTTTCAAACTTTTGAAACGAATTATAAATCTTAAGTTGACAACTATTGATCTGAACTTAGTATTATTTCTAAGATTTATGGAAAAGTTTTTTATGATAATCTTGGTAACAATGATTCAATATAATATAATATAATATAATGTAATGTAATATAATGTAATGTAATGTCCATTTGTGTCCAAAATACAACGATTTAAGAAAACCTCTTTCAGCCTTTAGTTTTTTTTATTGGCTTTCAATACAAAGGTTTATTACGCTTATGATTAAAAATTTAACCTCTGTTGAAACTACAATTGATGTTAGTTAGTTTGTTTGTTTGTTTAATAGGGTTTTAAGTCACACCAACACAGTATAGGTCATATGGCGACGTTCCAGCTTTACTGGTGGAGGATCTCAGATGCCCTTCTGTGCATTTTTCAGGCACGAACGGGCACCTCAGTAGAGTAGAACCACCGACGTTCCGTAAGCTAGCTTGATAGCTTCCATACATAATCAAAGGTCCCTGTCGGGATTCGAACCCACATCGGTGAGGGGCATGTGGTTTGAATTAATGTTAGTAAATCAATCTTTATAGCGTCTCATTTGCGATAAACTACAGTGTTGAATATTGCTAGGGAATTTTTTCTTGAAAATATTACTCACTTTTTTACGGAAAATGTGAAAAGAAAATATAATACATTAGATATAACAAAATATTATGCACTGATATTTTTTGTATAATAGGTGGTACGGTATTGTTATATATGTTATATATGTTATAACATTCAATGCCTACTACAATATCATAATTCATAAGTTGCAGTCTGGTTTTAGACGAGGTTTCTCAACTGATACATGTCTTGTTCATATATCAGATTCTATTAATAGGTTTTACCTGGATCTAGGTGATCGAGTCAGTGTGATCATGTAAGGTCTTCCAAATGCATTTGATTCTGTAGATCATAGTATAAAATAATGAAAATTAAAGCTTAAGGTATTTGTACTGATGTCTTAGGGTGACTCAAGTCGTACCTTACTGACCGACAGCATCTGGTAGATGTTTCAGGTTATTTAACTTTTGTAAATTAGTTTGTTTTTTTGTTTGTTTGTTTTGTTTAACGGCACATTGACACAGTACTGGCTTTACCGCGTCGGACACTATATTTGTTAACGTAAAATTGTTAAACTTAACGAACGGTTCATGCAATATAATTAATTAGTTAGTTAAATATTAGAATATAAGTTTATTTCTTTTAATTAGTCAATCGAAGTATTATTTTCTCTTTCTCGTACTATGTTCATAGTGAGGTTAGTTCTTAAATTGTTGTCCAAGTGAGTTAATCGGATTATTCTGACCCAAGTTTTGTAAAGTTATAGCAGGCATGGTCTCGAATATATGAGTAAGCATTTCATTCCAACTTAGGATACCCACAGTCACAATACGAGGTGTCGAGGGTATTTGAGTCGCTGGGGTCAAAGGTTTTTTGGTAAAATATCCTTTGC